TTTTTTTTTTTTACAACGTAAATACTGTAGCTAAATTTTAGGCTAAATTTATCGTGAGCATCTGAGATAAAGTTTTGCTGTAACTGGTCACCTCCGATATGTGAAGACAAAAATTATATCCAATGAGCAATACTTTGGTACTATTTTCCCTCTGTATATTTCACAAACTGCAAGAGACTCATGAGTCATCAGCCAGTTTTTGTCAGAAGATTCAAAACATCCTGCACATTCTGTATCTTTTCCCAAAAACTTCCTCCTTTGAGAATTGTAGTATTACGCAGTGTCTAGTGCTATTATTGTAACTATGAAATAATTTTTTGAAGTCCCTCTAAAACGAATGGAAACTTTTATCATAATTAACATCATTCCAAATGATAAAATACTTTCTTAAAATGGAAGGTTTCCAAAACTCTAAGTCCATGCCAAATCCTACTGGCCATCTGAGGAATATCCGGCTAAATAAATGTATAGGGCCTGCTGTATGTATTATAGTGCTTATATGTAGGAGGCACTTTCTAAGATCACCTTTAAAGCATGGCTGCTTTAACACTCTAAAACTGGTGAAGGATATAATACAGATACAGATATCAATAACTACAACCTAAGGCATTTTGTAACATCTCCTCCTCTCTCTCCTACTCCAGGACATCCTGCTCTCACCTTAAGTAACTCATTACCAGTAACACAGTATCTCCCATTTCTAAAAACATTCCCCTTCAGCAAAATTCCTTGAACCAGAGTAGCCTAGCCTTACCATCTTTAATTCTCTTTTGAACCAACTTCGATCAGACTTTTGTCCCCATCACAACACCAAAAGTATGAAGGTCACCAATGACCTTCACAGGAAAATGTCAAGGGTTACCTCTCACTCATCCTTTTGGATTTCTCAGTTGCATTTGACTCTTGAAACACTTTGTTCACTTGGCTTCCAAGCTGTCCCTCTTTCATGGTGCCTTCTCCATCACCAGTTACTCATCCTTTTTTTTTTTTTTAAATGGTTCCTGTTCCTTTTCTGACCTCTCTATGTTGGAGTAGTCCAGGGCTCCTGCATCCCGAGCAGTGGTTCTTAACTCTGCATGCATACTGAAATCCTGTGGGGAGCTTCTAAAGGAGACTGATAACTTAGCCACCCCTACCGCATTCCAAATGAATTAGAATCTCTGGGGACAAAGCCCAGAGAGTAGTAATCTACTTCCTACTCCTTTGGCCCAGAAGCTCTTCCTCCAAATACTCAGGGCCAGGATGGAGAACCCCAGCCCTAGGGAGTGCCCTCCACCGAACATTCTATACCTTGATGACTCATAAGATATATCTCAGGCTGCAGACCATTCCTCTGAATTCCAGACTCCTCCTTTCACATCACCACTTAAATAAAGGGTATCTCAATCCACGTCCATGACCAAAATCCTTACCTTCCTCCACCAACAAAACCCTGTTCTTCCTGTAGCCTTCTCATCTCCATTAATGACAACTCATTACTTTAGACTGTTTCGACCAAAAAACTTGGGAATCATCCTTAAATTTTGTCTCTCACACTGAAATCTCATCATTCAGTAAATCTTACCCTGCCTTCAAAATACATTCCGGTATAACATCTCCCCACCTCCACCGCTGCTACCCTGATCCAACCCAGCCATCTTCCATCTGACTTCTTACAAGAGGCACACAGCAGGCTTCCATCTTCGGCCCTCATGTGCCTGTAGTGGACTCTCAGCCCCAGAAGCAGGTCATGTTTAAGAATGGTAAGTTAGATCATGTCCTTCATCTGTTCAAAATCCTTACACTAGCTCTTCAGCATCCCCCCTCACTATTCAAACGTCTTAGAGACATTTGATCTTAGAGTAAGAGGTCTGAAGGTGCCCAATGTCTTTACTTCTAGGAAAAACACAAGAGGTAACAGGATTCCATTACCATCTTTCTTAAAAACTTGAGGAAAAGAATCACATCTTTTGTCAGATTCTCAAGCCCATGAACCAAAAATGAATCACTGTGTAAGAGACCATCATAATCAATATTCCAATTTATTATAGGTTAGGTCTTAACCTTTTCAAGCTTTTGCTTGCAACACTAATTCAGTCAAGAGTAGGCCATATTAAAAGATAAATTTACTTTAAATATATTTTAATATTAACCTGTCTTCTATTTTTCTGGATTATATAGTAGTTTCCTTACTCATTGTTCCTATACTTCTCTTGTAACTAACTCTTTAACTGGTTTTTTTACTTGTTGATGTTATTTCCTTTCTTATACTATACACACACACACACACACACACACACACACATATATACATACATATATAAGCTATGATTTAAATTCAATTCTAAAGTGTAAGAAGCTCTAAACGTCCATCAACCTGTGGTCCAAAATACAACAGTCAGAAATGTGGAATTCAGAATTCTAACTGCCCACCCTGTCAATGCCTTCCATTCAAATGCCAGTTAGTGTTCCTGGAATGAGGTAGGAGTGGGGGCTTGAGATAGGCTTTTAATCACTTGAAGTTAATTTCCTCTTATGCAGTCATTCCACAGAAGTTACTCAGAAGGCTTCTAAGATTAATCAACCACACAACAGGTAGAGTCATCTAGGTTAACAATTCAGTAAATGCTTCTCTGGTGGCTCAATTCTCTTCTTTGGTGATGGATATACAACCACACAATTCAGTATCATTGAACTCAGGAGCTGAACTCTGAAGAACCTATATGCCAGCTTGTCAAGAAGTTAATTACCTTTTTATATATTCAAACTTTTCCTCTCTCCTAGATCCTTTCCATCGAAATGTAACACATTCAAAGCTTTCCCATCTTAAAACGAAAGAACACCTAACAACACAACCTCCCTGGAGCCACACTTCCACCCTGGACTTTAGCCTTTCTAGAACTATTGTTATCAGTGAGTTTCCTCAACATTCCACAACCCACATCATTCAGGCTTCTCCGTGAAAATGGCTCTAAATTAGGTCACCAAATGATATCCACAATGAAATCCAACAGAATTATTTCAGTATTCATCCTGCTGAACCCGTCAATTATCCGGTGCAGTCCTTTTCCTAAAACATTCTTTCCATGACACTACCCTTTCCAATTTTTTTTTTTTCCTCAGCAAGATAATCGTCCTCCTCTCTTTGCCTCTGACTTCTCCCGTAGGTTATCTTATCAGGGTCTTGGCCTCACTCTGACTTACTCTATTGGACATCACCTGTGGAGAAAAGTCTGAACTTTCCATGGGATTGTCTCCTAAGCACGCAAGCTGAACTCCCATTCCCAACCCACCAAGCTGGCTGGCCTCCAGTGATCCCTGAGTCACTTAGTTTTCAGCCAACTGATTGTTTCTCTTAAATCTCTTGAGAAAACTCATCCAAATTCACAGTTTCAAATATTCTCTCTACGAGAATATAAATTAGCATACCTGGTTCTAACTCCTCCCAAGCTCCAAGTCTGTATTTCCAAATGCTCTTGGATTGTATATCATCATTTGAAAGCGACAAGGTCTAAAACAACTCCTGGTCCTCCTCAAACTACACTGAGCTATTCATGATTTCCTAATTTCTATTCATTTTCCCAACTAATTGAACTAGAAAATTAATGACAGTCCCAATCAGGATGGATGTCTGACTGCAGTTCAGTTCTATTCACTTTTAACCCTGGGCTGGGACCCAGCACTTAATCCTGAAATCCTGAAGAAAATCTCAGGTTCTCATTGCTCACATTCAGCAGAAGTCACAGGGCTGAAAATAAAGTTTCATCCTAGAGCAGCCTGGCTGCTGTAGCTACTTAGTGCTGTCTCACATATTAAAACACCACCGAAACTTTTCACTACGAATGCAAAAATTAAAACGATGGTGTATTAATAGGGTTGTGAGATTTATTCAGTTTTTCCATTTAGCCTATTATTTTGAAGCTGGGTTTCTAAATAGTCTCTTCACTCTGCCACCCCACACCCCAGAGCTTCCTGGCCAATCTATCTGTATCTCCATTGTTTTATTTCCTCCCCACCCACCTCCTGAGTGAATGCTAAGTTAATTTAAATTGTTCGAGCAGTGGTCTAAGCCACTTGTCTACAAAAGCCCAAGGTAAAGGAGGTGAAATCCATTACCTAGCTGATGGCTTCTCTCTTCTTTCACTTGGCCTGCAAAGCCGTCAGCTCTTTTAAAGAAACCATCTGAGGTGTTTCAAATGTTAAACTGTATGTATTTCAGAACCTTATAAAATCTTTTCTGTGCTCCTCATCAGACTGATGGGTATGAGAATAATTTACTCCAGCACATAAAGTATAGAGTTAACCTATTTTCCTAAACTCTAAAGGAAGTGTGTTTAAATATTTGCATTTGGTCCTAAAGACACACTTACCATTTATAAATACTTTGGATAGATAATTTTAAAAAACAGCTGACTAAATATCTCAAGTGAGTAAAAATGATTTATATGTGCGGAATGATTTATACTTTGACACCGTCAACTTTGGTCAGGCCTTCTTTCCTCACACACCCATCTCCCTGTGTTACTGTTGTTCCATTTAGTTTGTTAGTTGAGCAGTAAAAATTACTAAAAGCCTGTTTTCCACTGGACTGGCAAATACTGCCTCGGAAAGCAGAATCCTAAACCTTTCTCCCACACGATCATTTTGACATTGGAATGGAAGGCACTGTGCCTGAGAAAACAGCACCAAACAAAACATCATCCAAGCAAATTAAGTATTTTGAGGAATGCGGCGACAGAGCTTGCCAAAGCCACAGAAAGTTTGTTTCTGGAAGCTCAGATTATGACACTATGGTCATATCATAAAATCCTATTATTCGTCCACTAGAATACTTGTATTTCTATAATTACAGGCAAAACTTCGTTTTTATGGGGGAAAATGAATGTAAGATTTTATAATATGTAATTGAGAATGAACAATTCAATTTGAATTTTACCTTTTTTTTTCTGGTTTTAGGAGTTGGGAACATGGTGTTGACTGAAAACCTCAAGGAATGAGGAGGAAACGATGGAGGTGAGAGGCAAAAGTTCTGAGTTCCAGTCCTGCCTCAGTGGAGTTTCTTTTCGCCTCTCTCTGACCTCAGATCTTTGCACTCCTATGGCTCCACATTCTCTCCCTTGAGGATTTCGGCCAGTCTGAGGTTTCAACCACAATGTCTGTGGAATGTTAAAGAACAAGTACCTGTGTTCTCAGGTTTATACTCCTTACTTGCTTCAGCATTGACTGAATATTTATTACAAGCCAGACTCCGGGCTTTGCTGGAAATGAGAAGAGTAAGACAAAGGCTTTGCCTTCGGTAAGATTAGGTTTTAGTGCAGGAAGACAGATAAACTTCAGTATCACTTTGTACGTGGAAGGTGCTACAGGGACACGGAAGAGGGCCAGTTAGCTCAAAACTGAGTTCTGAAAAAAATGTGCACAGGTCAAAAAGGCAAAGAAAATTATGAGAACATTCCAGGCTGAGGGGAGAGAAGCAGCAAGGGCATTTAGCTGTGCCACTTGATTTCTATTCATTTTCCCAACTAATTGAACTAGAAATCACTGTAGTAAAGGCATACTTTCAAACACACCGAGTGAAATCAAGGTTTGCAGATGGTGAGGAGGGTAGGGGAAGTCAAGGAAGGGTGGCGGGGGGGGCAGGACCTGTCTGATCACCTCGTGCGCTTTTCACACTGTCATGCTCGGTTATGCTAAATCCCCTTTGAAGGCTGTGTGCCCCCACCCAGACTCTCCCAGGCACGCCTCTGCTCCTACTGACACTGCCATGCCCTGTTCCTCTCCTGTATACAGTGAAAAACTACTACATTACGAATAATACAAGGGGAAATACACCAGAAAAGGGGAGGAGGCGGAGTCTAAAAAGGTAGGAAGCCAACAAAATAGAAGAAAGGGAAGCAGAGAGAACCAGTAAAATTTGAAGACTGGGCTTAGGTCCATCCAAAGGTTTCCTAGAGCTTGGTAGCATCCCAGCTCCACAAGTCTAAAGTAATTCATCATGTCACATACGGCGACAGTTATTTCTAACATACAAAAGGAAAGTAAAGGCAGTCTGTGGGTGGGTGCTTACTGGGTAGCCATACTGAACAGGTAAGAAGGCATCTGGTTTTAAAAAATTGCAACCATGGGGCGCCTGGGTGGCTCAGCTGGTTAAGCGACTGCCTTCGGCTCAGGTCATGATCCTGGAGTCCCGGGATCGAGTCCCGCATCGGGCTCCCTGCTCGGCGGGGAGTCTGCTTCTCCCTCTGACACTCCTCCCTCTCATGCTCTCTGTCTCTCATTGTCTCTCTCTCAAATAAATAAATAAAATCTTTAAAAAAAAAAAAATTGCAACCATGGAATTTCTGCATTAGGAAAAGAATTTTTTTTTTTTTTTTTTAAGAAATGCACACTGGATATAAAATGGTGTCCTTCTTAAAGGTTCAGAGGAACAGAACATCCGAGGGGTGCTGTGGATTTGCCCTTTGTCACATTTCCAGTCTTAGTGCTCCTAATTCAGCTTTGACAACGGTGAAATACTGAGGGTTCTCTGAACAAAACACAGTAATTCATAACACCCCTTCAGCCTTGAATGCGTCCCCCTACCCTCACTAGCTACTGAGTCTCCATCCAGGTACTGCTTTCTCGAGGAAGTTAACATTCTTAGGGAACTCGCAGGGGTTAAGTGTCACTGCTGTTGCTGTCATCATTATCAAATACTTCATCTGGGCCAGACTGCTGTTCTAACTCCAAGGAATTCCATAGCAACTCCTCTTTACAACAATCCTATTAAGTAGGTACGAATAACATCCCCGTTTCACATTTAAGACACTGAGGCATAAAGCCTACCCAAAGACGCATCACAGGACAGTGGTGAAGTCAACATCTGAACCCAAGCAGACTGGTTCCAGCGTCTGTGCTCTAATCACTAGGCCACACAGCATCTGTGTGATTAAAAATGAGACGGATCCAGGTCGCCTGGGTGGCTCAGTTAGTTAAGCGTCTGCCTTCAGCTCAGGTCATGATCCTGGGGTCCTGGGATCCAGCCCCGCATTGGGCTCCCTGCTCAGTCGGGAGTCTGCTTCTCCCTCTGTAACCTTCCCCTTGCTTGTGCTCTCTAATAAATAAAATCTTAAAAAAAAAAAAAAAGATTCTAGGTACTGCGCTATCCACAAGGCTCTAGACTGTCTGATTCAACATTTATGCTCAATGAGCTTCTGGAGCTGGAGATGTACAAAGGATGGCACATTAACCCAAGGTACAAAGTCTGTTTTAAAAACATCTTTGCTGAAAATTTTTACACAAATATAGAGCTGTAACTGGCACACCTGAAATGTTAGGATTTACAGTTCCTACGATAAGAAAAGTGTTTCGCGTCTAATGAAAACCCTTGGCAATTTGAATATTATATGATACTAAATTATACTATAATTATTTCAAAGGTCAAGAATCTTAAACATTTAGGCTTAAAACTCTCCACCTGGGTGATGCAATCAGAAAATTAAAGTATGTATGAAAATATTTAATTATACAAAACAAGTAGAAATCTACCTATTTAATAACCTTTAAATAAAAGGTACAATATTTTCCAACATGGGTATTGCATAAAAGGAAATTTTTAAAATAACATTTTTTAATGAATATGAGTACAGATTTTATTTTCCAGTGCTAGTTTGAAGGAAGAGTAGGATAAAGGTGTGTGAAATAAAACACCATCACTTATTAACTGGCAGGAAACTCTATGAAGCGACTGTTCTGGGCACCACACTAAACAAAACAGACTCATCTGAGTCCAGCCTCTTCAGGAATTTACAGTCTGGTAGGAAAGGAAAACAAGAATAGGGCAAAAGTGTGCAAATTCTTTTGAAAGTTTTAGTAGAAAAGGCTTCTAGAAGGTAAATGTATACGAAGATCCCTGCCTAACCTTCACAGGTAACCTGGTCAACACTAGGATGCAGTGTTGGAATGACCAGTGATTACCTTTACCTTAGGGAACTCTAGTAAGGCAAAATATCAGGGCTTATGAGCATAGACTGTGGAGCCAGAATGTCTGGGGTTGAATCTTATTTCTACCACATACCAACTGATGTCAGCGAGTTCACCTGACCTGTCTGTGCCTCAGTTTCCTCATTTACAATGAGATCATGTGAGTGCAGCAGGAACACAGAATGAACTAACTCACGAATCAACATAGCTTAAAAAAGAGCATTCAGGCCGTACCCAAACCACAGTTAGAGCTTAAAAGATCTTGCCAACACACGGACTCAATTAAGGGGTGGGGTCAGTCTTTAGCTCTGTGTAAGCACGGGGCCCCCATCTTAGGGTTTTTCCAAACTTGGTCAGCAAAGAGGCCCCTACTTCTCTTAAGCAAAATGAAATAGTTAAATATTTAATTCCATCATCTGAGCCTGAAAAATGCCCCTCTACTTGTCATTCTTATTTATGTGCAACACAAAAACAACCGCAAGCGCCGGTTGTCCAGAAAAAACACACACTGTCAAACTGTGGTTAGCTGATTTGAGGTTTAGGGTGAATATGACTTTGCTATTCATTTGCTCATTTTACTGTGAGAGGAACAGACGTAGACAATAAAGACTGAAGAAAATGAAAGACAAAAAAACAAAACCGAGAAAACTATTAAGCTCCTCCTTATTTTTTGAATAATTTTTATCCATTTTTATTCATGTCCTAAATCAAGCCTGTCCAAGACCTACCGTTGTGACCTACAGACCTCCTGAAATCCAGATGCCATCCCTGTGCATCAAATCCATCCCTGCCCTTGCCCTGTCCCACTCAGCAAGTATTACAGTTCTGCTCAGCCTGGAATCCCATATTCTGTCGAGCAAGAAACATGCCGTGCAACGGAGCGGTTTTGCTGTGAGGACAGTATCACAGAATCCGGGAACACAAGCTAACTTGGAAGATTTCTCCTCCAAACAGTTTTATAGAGAAAGCAGACCCAGAGAAACCCGGGTCACCCAGCGAGCTTGCTGGCCACGCTCACAACGTTGGTTCTTCCACTCGCTATCTGCCCCGTCTGTCCCTTTTTGTTTAGCTACAGCACCATTCAGAGAAGAAACCTAACTTCAAAACTGAAACTCAGGGCTCAACTTTAAATAGCATCAAAAAGCATGAGGATACCTAATTTGGAGACTATATGAACTGGGACAAGGAAATTTTCATCTGGATTTGAGCAATCACAACACCAGGAACATACAATCGGCTAAGTTTTATAGCCTCACAGCCGAGTTCTGGATAGGACACTCTACAATATATTTAGATCTCTTCGTTTGTGTTTCATATGACTCATACCCCCAGCCCAATCTGGGAAAGATTTTGTGATAAAGAGCAGGATTGTCCTTAATCCTTATCCCTGTCGCACACTCACAGGACTGAATGAGACGGAGACAGAGGGGGGAGACTAGAACTCTTTCAACACTACTGATTTTCCTCTTCCTTTGTAGGTTACTTAGGAAGCTGCATTCCTGGGGCGCCTGGGTGGCTCTGTCGGTTAAGCGGCTGACTCTTGATTTCAGCTCAGGTCATGGTCTCGGGGTCATGGGATTGAGCCCCGTGTCAGGCTCCATGCTGGGCATGGAGCCTGCTTAAGACACACCCTCTCCCCCCTCCCCCCACTCACACTCTCTCCCTCCCTCCAATAAATAAATAAAAATCTTTTTAAGATTTTTTAGGCAAAAAAAAAGGAAGCTGCATTCTTCCACCAGAAATAATTTCAGACATGGTATTAAAAATAAGAAAATAATGAAAATTTTTCTAAAAATTCCGTAAGATATTTCAAGTTGGGCTGATATGCACCTTTCCGGTTGGACTGAGAGACCATTCTTTAAAATAAGTAAATATTAAATGGCAAATAAGAGGTTAAGGCTGTAATAAGTAAATTCAAATGTATAAAACAAGTAGATTTCAATTATTTCACCCAATCACCTAGAAGCAAAGATACTCTAAAGAAAATTGCATTGCCTTCCCAACTCCTTGGAGAGCCAGTTTAGTTAACAGCCTACCTCTGCTTCAGAGATGACCATACAGCTTACATGTCAAACTCATTTTAAAGTGTCAATCATGTCCCTTTCAATCTAATTAGTTTGGAAAGTAGTGTCACTGACCTAGAACTATGCAGACCATTTATTATCATACCATTTGATCAACCTAACACTTTACCCCAGTTGAGTTTGAGACACCTGTAGCCAAAATACAATATCCTTTCTCCCACTCATTACTGGTAACTCTCGATACAATTTCCTATTTACAACTCAATTTATCTCTATGAATAAGCATGGCCAACTTCACAGAAGCATTGACAGAATTTGCCTTATTTAAGATTTTATGGTAATTAAAATTGAAAGGTAAGGGGAACAAGAAAAAAAATCAGAAATACCTGAACTAGCAGGTGGAAAGATCTATCTACACCTATATTTAGAAAACAGATTTGAGTTTTTGGATCCCAAGAACTGCTAAAGGAGAGCAAAGAGGAAGAACAGAGGAACATGGATGGGCTGGCAGACATCTGGGACCTTACACATGATAGGGAGACTATTCTTTTTTAAAAAAATATATAGGAGCGCCTGGGTGGCACAGTCGTTAAGCATCTGCTTTCGGCTCAGGTCCTGATCCCAGGGTCCTGGGATCGAGCCCCGCATCGGGCTCCCTGCTCGGCGGGAAGCCTGCTTCTCCCTCTCCCACTCCCCCTGCTTGTGTTCCCTCTCTCACTGTGTTTCTCTGTCAAATAAATAAAATCTTTAAAAAAAAGTAAAATAGAATAAAAAATAAAAAATATATATAATATGGCAAGCTAGTTTTATTAACAGGAGTCTGTGGGTTATAAACCCGTTGTCATCAGATGAGTTTGTGTTGTAATAAAGAAAACCTTTCTCAGGTTCATAGTATTTAACCTGACTTTGACCTGGCCAAGGGCAGGATGAAGCCGAACTGAAGACATAGTAACTAGCTCCTGAGAGGTCAGAGAATACCCCTGTACCTCCATGGGAGAAGCTAAAGGCCAGAGCACAGTGAGCGGGGGGCGGGGGGCGGTGGGGATGAGGGGTGGGAGTGGAAGCACAGCTGGCTGGAAGATGCGAGCCAGTGAAGCAACAGAGGTCACCTGGCCCACTCTCTGGCAAGAATTTGACAATCGCCAAATCTTTTTCTCATTTTAGTGTTGCATATTTAAGAACTCATTTGCAAGACAAACATACAAGCAGGCAATCTTCTCTCTGAACCACAGAATAACATAATGAACCAGGGATAGAGAAAATACATGCATCCACCACCAGCATGTTGCATCCATATTTTTAAACATGGTATTAAAAACAGTAAGTATATCGGTTCTATTTAAAGTAATGACTCCTCACTCTAGAAAGCAATAATCTGAAGCAGGATGTCAGCTGCCGGCCCTTCCTTTCCCAGCCTGTGTTTCCCTTTGGAGAGGTTGTATTTTACCAAAACTCCTGTTTGTCTCAAAGATAAGCAAGATTCTTCATTCATGTTTGCTTGATCAAGTAGTTATTGGTGACTATGATTTTACATCTGGTCAAATAAAATAAACATGTATCTCCAACTTACCTTCAGGTGAAGAGCCTGTCTTTTGGGAAAAGACAGCATTTACTTTACTCTTCTTACTGATATCGCTGTTTACAGACAAGCTGGACTGAATTTTTCTATGCATTTTGTGAGAAACAGGTGCTGAAAGTCTTCGATTATCTGCAGATACGTGTTTGGCCCCATGGTGAATTCCATTTCCATTGCTCAGACTTGTGTGGCCGTTCTTTATCTTGCTGGTTTCTTCCTCACTTGGTTCCTGTGAGCATGTTGGAAGCTGAGGCAAGCGCTGGGGTTGAGCTAAACAACAGGAAAAGTTGATCCAGTTAAAAAAGAAATATTTGAAAATCATCAAAATATATTCAGGAACAGACTTTTTTTTTTTTTTGCCCCCTGGGCTTTACCCATGGTTCTACAAAATGGAGAGAAAGAAAAAAGGAAAATATTAATAAACACGGACACAGAGAAAACATAATTAGTAAAAAAGGGAAGTGGGACAGGGTCATCAAAAGTGACCTTATACAAGGCATATGAAAACAGTGGGAAAGACTGCTTTGTTTTTTAAGAAAATTTAAATTGGAAATCTGAAAAAGTTATTCTACACTCATTCAACAGCAAGTGTTTGTTTTTCTATGTACCAAGTCCCTCTTTTGGGTGCTAGAAACATGGTATTATCTCAACATCCCCAGGTAACAGGATAAAATGTTTAATTATCTTTTGAGATAAAAGGAAAAAAAACAATGAATCCAAGTATCAAAACTGGACAATATAGAAAGAAATATAAAATATAGTTTTCAATTTCATTTTAATTTTTTTAAACAGTTTTATCTATTTAAGTAATCTCTACACCTAATGTGGGGCTCCAACTCATGACCCTGAGATCAAGAGTCACATGTTCTTCCGACTGAGCCAGTCAGGCACCCCTTCAATTTCCTTTTAAGTCCTGGAGAAAACTTTTTCCATATTTATTTTTTAATTTGATATAAAAATAAGCCATTTATTGGCAATAAGTTGGTTGAGAATCAAAGAGAGCTTCCTTAATCTGATAAAACACATCTGCCGAAATTAAATGTCAGCACTTTAGAAATGCTCCCATTTAGGTCAGGACCAAGAAAAAGTGGCCCAACTTCACCCCTCTTATTTGACATGACACTGGAGGTACTGGCAAAAGGAATATAACATGAAAAACAAATAATAGGTCTGAAAAAAAAATTTTTTTGAGATGCATACCTAATTGGAATGTTCTAGGGGAAATTTATGAGACTACAAACCCTGAAACACTAAGAATTTAACAAGATATATACAAGATCAACCACATTAAAATCAACAAACTTCGTCTATGCCAACAGTAACCAAACAGCAAATATACAAGAAAAAATAAACTCTTTACAAGATCAAAAAAATAAAGAAAAATAAAGAAAAAAAAAGCCCCCCAAAACCTCCCATAAATATCTAAGAATTAAGATAGGAAAAAATGGGCAGAGATTTTATGGCAAAAAAATCACAGAACAGTACTGAAGGACATAAAAGAAACCCTACTAAATGTAGAGTGAATATTAATCCTCCCCAATTTATTTACTTAGTGTAATTCCCATAAAATTTCCGACAGGCTTTTACACAGAACTTGAGAAACTGATCCAAAAATTTATAAGGAAAAGCAAACAAGAATCACTAAAGCAATTTTAAGGAAGTAAAAGAGGGTTGCAGCACTTGACTTACTAAATATATAGTCCTATCAAGAAACTCCAGGAACTAAAGCCATGTGTTGTGGGTCCAGGCACAAATAATCAGGGGAAAGACAGAGCTCCAAATATGTATGTGTTTGCACATCTAAGTGCATATATACCTTATAGAGATAAATTACAGATGCATTAAATGCCTGTATGTGAAAAGCAAAACATTTCAGATTGAAAACAAATATAAGAGGGGCACCTGGTGGCGCAGTCAGTTAAGCATCTGTCTCTTGGTTTCAGGTCAGGTCATGATCCCAGAGTCCTGAGATCAGTCCCCTGGGGCTCCCTGCTCATTGGGGAGTCTGCTTCTCCCTCTGTCCCTCCCCCTGCTCCTGCTCTCTTGCACGCATGCTCTCTCTCAAATAAATAAATAAAATCTTTAAAAAAAAAAATGAGACTTAATACCATGATACTAAGGAGGGACAAATTAGATTCTTTGGAGAACAAATCATAAAAAAAAGCAGGATGACTACTCATCATTTGTGCTGTCTGGCATTTCTGAACACCCGCACAGAGTTTTGGTCAATTCCTCTATCCCATTCCTTGACTCCTCTGCAGCTAAGGGGCAGGTTTGTGACCTAAGTCCTACCAAGCACAAGGATGACTTACATACAGCAGTGGCCAAAGCAAGACCACAGCCACACCAGGGAGGTAACTCTCAGCACAAACAGTACAGAAGACGTTTACTGGTCTTGGCAGTGGGACGCAGTGTCTGATATCCACTCCCTAGCAGACCATGGGCTGATGGCACAGCAGTGCGGTTTTCAACAGAGAAGCCCCACTGAATGGATGGGCATGATTCTGGCTGTGTAACACCTGGGAGGGTCCGTGTGCTAATGAGGGAGCAGAAGGCTAGCTGAGGACAAAGCACAAGCTGACACCCTGCAACATCCCTCCCCCACCCCACCCCAACTCCTGGGTGGGATATGTGTCACATTCCTCCAGGAAGCTCCCAACTGTCTTACTATTAATGCCTTACTAGAGGGAAAAAAAAGCCTTGACAATGGCAAGGCCTCCAGTATCTTAAGTCCTCTTCAGCATCTGAAGTTCTTTTGAAAACTTCCCTTTTCCCTTACCCCCAACTCCCAAGTATGTAATCAGCCACCCCTCACAACCCTGGTGCAGCAGCTCTTTTCTGCCCATGGGTCCTGTCCCCGTGCGTTAATAAAACCACCTTTTTGCACCAAAGACGTCTCAAGAATTCTTTCTGGGCCATTGGCTCTGCACCCCACCCCACCAAACCTCACCCCTATTCCAAAACTACATCACTAATAAATTTTTTTTCCATTTAAATTAGCCAAAATGGATTCTAGTTTTTGCAGCTGAAGAGCCCTGACTCCTCTTTCCCCCAGCTGTTATTTGTTTACACTGGTTAAGTAATGAGATTATTAAAATCAATATTTCCATTGATTGAGTAGCCCCTAAGCAAAGCTATCATAGCACTTCAGCAAAAACAACAGAAAAAACAAAAACCACTCATTGCCAAAATTTTACTATTTTATAATTTCCTGGAATTTCAAAATCAAAAACTGCTGTTTTAATTAGTCTTCTTTTCCATTTATGATTATGAACAGTTACAAAATGTAAATTAAATCTGAATACTAAGAACTCAATTTAGAAAAAGTATTGCATGCAAAGCTTAACAATTATACATGGTATTGACAATGTCTAAAAAGGGCCTGATTATCTGTGATCTGGGGATTAGCCAAAACGGTATATATTTTTGACAAAGAAGACAGTTTGCATTTGAGTAGGTCTTTAGCACACATTGTTTACTTCGATTCTTGTTCACATATCCTATGTCTCTTGAAGAAAAACATCTTAACATATCAAAACATTCTACTCATGATTGTGCATATTTCAAGAAAAAAGAATTCATTTCTTAACAAAAGCATGTTTTCCTACCAAATCTGTTACCATTAATATCTGATTTATTAAACTAACCTATGAACTCCTCGTACAGTTTTTCGGTTCTTCAGTGATAAAGGAGAATGATTATCTAAAAATTAAATATTGGGGAATACGACAAAGTAATGATGTGAAAATATATCAAAAATATTTTGGTTTTGTCCTGAACTCTTGATGGAAAAAAAAAAAAAAAAGGTTACTTCTCTGTTTAGCAGCTATATATGACCTTCTTGTAACAAAAATGGACAAGACATCTGCAAGAGGAGATCTATTATGGGTGTGCAATCATTTGATCTAGAGATTAATCTGCTGCTCCCATAGCTTCTTGTATCAACTAGAATGACATCCTAATGGCTGCTATTGAACATAGATAGTTATGCATATGTATTTAAAGGGATGCCAAAGAAGACAGTTAAACCTAATTTGGTGTTCTTTTCAGAGCACTTACCAGTAATCTCGCCAAATAAATGGAATGTTTTGGGCCACTTTTTCTCTGAAAAGAATATTTCAAGCAATCTGAGAGCTTGGTTAAATTGAAACGTCCAACTGACCAATGCTAAGGAGCTTCTCGTCAATCAAAAATGTCCTGTCATAGTCCATAATCCATATTAAATTTAAAATTACCATGTCATAAACATTCTCAATAAATAAAAATAAAGGTGGTAAAAGACAACTACGTCTTGCCACCAAATTCTCACACTGACAGATCTGACCTTTTTCTACTATCAAAATTGACTATTTGCAAATTACCGGGTATGGCTGGAGTGGTAGTCAAACATATCCTTAATGATTTATCTACATTTCAATCTTCAAAATGATATCTATTTCTGTTGGCAGAAAAATGATAGTACATTCATTTTTGTTTCACTGTCACCTAATTATTTTTCCTATAGTTTGTATTATGGTCAGGTAACAACCGAGTATTATCTCTTTACGCCAGATTTTTAACATTAACACAATTTCTTAGTTTTATGATTTGGTCAGATACACGCAGTATGTAAGTCAAATTAAAACTAGATAAACCCTAGATAGATTAGCTATCTTAACATTTATTTTAACGTCACTGATAATTTTTCATGGGTGTGACTTGAATCTTATGGGAAAATTATAAGTAAAACCAAGTTGGAAACATGATTTTATTCTCAAATAAAGAACAAAAACATCTGACTGATTAAACCCCAACTACTTGGCTTTAAACAGATTTCTTTTCCTTACTGCATAAAAGTTGTGTATGGCTTTAAAAAAAAAAAAAAGCACACTAATATGGGAACGACACAATGCTTCTTAAAACACAAGTGATGCCTAGGGACCCTCACTCTCCCTTTAATGATCCACTGCTCTCATTCAGCTGTCTTTCTTTTTTCAAATCTTTACATATGTGACAGCTCTCAAAAGTAGACCATAGACCATCTGGCATTTTCAGAGGTGTAACTTGTGCAAATTCAGCTCTATTGGGAGCGCACCGCTATCTTCTGCTTGCGTTATAAAGGGACAATAGAATGGAGAACTTACGAGTTGTTTTGAATTATTCATTTTTTTGCCTGTATATTCAAGAAATTTTACAAACTCTGCATTTTGTACTACATAATCACATGCGTTAAAGGTACAAAGAAACTTTTTGACACCTTTTTTCTACAGAAAGCTGGCATTTTGTTTGAT